ACGTATTAAGGTGTTCAGTCAACCATACATTTAAATGTTTAAATTACGTTTCAACCCACAATTTTTTTTTACAAATATTAAGGGTTTTAATGAGAAAATAACGTTTGAAGTAATTATTTTATGAACTGTGCAGGCAGCTCTTTTTTTAACATTTATACTATGTTATATTGAACACGCTCCATCGAACACTTTTAAAATTACTTTTTATATATTTATTATGTGAAATGTTTGCTTAGTTTACACATTTAGACAATATGACTTATTTAAAATTTGAAGGTATAAAATGTAAGAATTTTGTTCGTTAAAAAAATGAATTATGAATGAATGTTAAATGAATAATTTAACTTTCTCACTTTTTCAAAAGTATATTTTTATAACGTTAATAAATCGGTTTTTGTCAAATACAAATATACTTTTATCCACATCGCTTTTCTCTAAAATGGGATAACTTGTTTAAAAATAATTTATAACGTTTAATATTTAATAAACTGATGCAACATGTATACATACATTAACAATATACATAGGTATACATATATATATAAACAACATTAAATGAAATTTAGAAATTTTTTACGTGTTTTTTGCTCGTAAGATTCGTCCTGCTTTTGGTAAGTTCTTTAATGTAATTGTTTTAAAACATACACACTGTTCTTATTATAATTTGTTAACATTAAACTGATTTAGATTAAACACAATACTCATATATGTACTGTACAGATGTTAAAATTGTAGAGAGTCCATTATTTCAAAATTTAGGGGCGGTCGTGTATTTTTACCGTAAATTGGAATTAGGCGTGATTTTACTAGAGAATTCTCTAGTAAAATCACACTTAAGTCGGCTCGATAAGATACATTTGCTATGGTTATAGATCTATTCAACAAGACCTTAAGATGGTGTACGTATTGTAAATTAGTATTTCGAGAACACTCTTATTATACCGGGTGCGCTAAAAATACCGGATTTTTTTTATCAAATTTCAGCCCAGCGACATTCTACAATAAAAATTTTTGAATTTAATCTGTTTAACAACAAAGCCAGCTGAAAACAAGCTTTTTAAACCATTTCATCGTTTAACAAATTTCTTTTTTGTGTTTTAGAAGCAGCTAAATGTTCCAGCAAACGATAAAAATGATCAACCCGAAGACGGCTGGAGAAAAAAATCATTGTCTACAACCTTTAAACATTCTGTATTCATGTTGCAGTTAACGTTAAACGAACGTTTAATAAATACGTTGTAAAAACAAGTATTTGTGGAGTTTTATTTATTATAGAACTAACGTTAGAAAAGACATTAATATAAATTTAAATATAACGTATTAATAAACGTTATAAATGTAACATTTTGAAACGTGTAATGATCGTTTTCTTAACGGCAAAATTAAACGTTTATTCATTAGTATTGTTAAACGTTATAATTTGCGACATTTTAAAGTTGATTGTACGTTATAAATATACGTAAAAACAAAATGGTGTTACGGTTTAAAAAAACGTTTAATTAACGTATGTGTGTTTACTGGGTTCGACTTCAATGCATTTATTAATTCGCATTTCGTTTTAATATTCTGCTAACACTTCCCTGTGATATTTCCAAATCTCTAGATAATTCTCGTGTGCTTGCATGAGGATTAACGGCCGTTGCTACTAATACATTAATTTTATTATTTCCACCTGTGACTCCCAGTAAACACATACACGTTTTTTAAACGTATTTAAAACGTGTGAAAGGTCAATAAAACGTTTTACGTGGAAAAAGCAACGGTTTGATATTGGTATAAATTTACACCAATTAATTTAAACGTTAAAACAACGTTAATTTAAATATGCTTTTTAATAGTGCCTAACTTTTACGTTACAATAACGTTGTATTAAGGTGTTCAGTCAACCATATATTTAAAGGTTTAATTTAAACGTTAAAACAACGTTAATTTAAATATGATTTTTAATAGTGGCTAACTTTTACGTTACAATAACGTTGTATTGAGGTGTTCAGTCAACCATATATTTAAATGTTTAATTTAAACGTTAAAACAACGTTAATTTAAATATGCTTTTAATAGTGACTAACTTTTACGTTACAATAACGTTGTATTTATTAAGGTGTTCAGTCAACCATATATTTAAATGTTTAATTTAAACGTTAATTTAAATGTGCTTTTTAATAGTGGCTAACTTTTACGTTACAATAATGTATTAAGGTTTTCAGTCAACCATACATTTAAATGTTTAAAACCCACAATTTTTTTTTACAAATATTAATGAGAAAATAACGTTTGAAGTAATTATTTTATGAACTGTGCAGGCAGCTCTTTCTTTTAACATTTATACTATGTTATATTCAACACGCTCCATCAAACACTTTTAAAATTACTTTTTATCTATTTATTTTGTGAAATTTTTGCTTAGTTTACACATGTAGAAAATATGACTTCTTATTTAAATTCTGAAGGTATAAAAGCTAAGAATTTTGTTTGTTAAAAAAATGAATTATGAATGAATGTTAAATGAATGTTAAATGAATAATTTAACTTTTTCACTTTTACAAAAGTATATTTTTATAACGTTAATAAAACGGTTTTTGTCAAATACAAATATACCTACTTTCATCCATATCGTTTTTCTCTAAAATGGTATAACTTGTTTAAAAATAATTTATAACGTTTAATATTTAATAAACTGATGCAACATGTATACATACATAAACAATATACATAGGTATACATATATATAAACAACATTAAATGAAATTTAAAAATTTTCTAATTACATTCTAAAGAATAGCATAAGTAATTCTATAGTCAATGTATGACCATTGACACAGTAAGCTTTAGGCAGAACACTATACACATACACAAATGTTGCTTTAAGAAGTGCATTATTTTATTAACATTCTTTAAACTAGACAGTTACTGTAATAGTTAAAAATAACGTACTTAATACATTTAAACAAACGAACTTAATACGTTGAAACAAACGTATTTAATACGTTTAAACAAACGTACTTAATACGTTTAAATAAACGTATTTAATACGTTTATTATAATACATAATACATAACCATATAAAAGGCATAACTGAAGAACGCAATCTGATTGGCCGAATACACATAATGTGATTGGCGCTGCCAATGGCAGGCTGCCATGCCATAGCTGCTCGCTACGTCAGTTTTCAATTTGATTTTGCTATCAAAAGGTGCATTTTTTACGTGTTTTCTGCTCGTAAGATTCGTCCTGCTTTTGGTAAGTACTTTAATGTAATTGTTTTAAAACATACACACTGTTAATATCACGCAGATTCATTGCTTTATTTCCTAATTTTCGGGGGAGTGTGATTTTGTTCTTATTATAATTTGTACAGCGTCCTAGAATAATATGAGAGTTAATATGTTAATTTTAAAGACGTTTTCTACGTGTTTTCAATGTTTATTAAGTATAGTGGGGTAGGTAAATATTAACTCACACAAATTAATGAAGAATTAACATTAGGTTAACATTAAACTGATTTAGGTTAAACTCAATAGTCATAAATGTACAGATGTTAAAATTGTGGAAAGAGTCCATTATTTCCAAATTTAGGGGCGGTCGTGTATTTTTACCGTAAATTGGAATTAGGCGTGATTTTACTAGAGAATTCTCTAGTAAAATCACACTTAAGTCGGCTCGATAAGATGATTTGCTATGGTTATAGATCTATTCAACAAGACCTGGTGTATGTATTGTAAATTAGTATTTTGAGAACACTCTTATTATACCGGGTGCGCTAAAATACCTTTTTTTTAATCAAATTTCAGCCCCGCGATATTCTACAATACAAAGTTTTGAATTTAAACTGTTGAACAACAAAGCCAGCTGAAAACAAGCTTTTTAAGCCATTTTTTTAATCTTATAGGAAAAATTAGTCTATTTTTCATCGTTTAACAAATTTCTTTTTTGTGTTTTAGAAGCAGCTAAATTTTCCAGCGAACGATAAAAATGATTCACCTGAAGACGACTGGAGATACCTCCAAAACCTTTCCTTCATTTAAAAAAATCATTGTCTACAACCTGTATTCATGTTGCAGTTAACGTTAAACGAACGTTTAATAAATACGTTGTAAAAACAAGTATTTGTGGAGTTTTATTTATTAGAGAACTAACGTTAGAAAGGACATTAATATGAATTTAAATATAACGTATAGATAAACGTTATAAAAGAGGCAAAAACAATCATTAATTTACGTTATTAATAGACGTATATTAAACGTTCTAAATGTAACATTTCGAAACGTGTAATGATCGTTTTCTTAACGCCAAAATTAAACGTTTATTTATTAGTATTGTTAAACGTTATAATCTGCGACATTTTAAAGTTGATTGTACGTTATAAATATACGTAAAAACAAAATGGTGTTACGGTTTAAAAAAACGTTTAATTAACGTATGTGTGTTTACTGGGCTGTTGCTCGTCGAACTCTTTTTTTCGGTTGAACACTCCCGTTTGTAGTAAACTGCTTGACTGTACGGTGAAATGAAGTACGTGATCGAATTTTATCCGGAAAACGCTGAGCGTAGATATTAACAGCATCGTCAAGATTCCTGCCTGCTTCTCCATAAATCAAAATCATTTCTATTTTTCTTCCTCTGTTAAAAATCCATTATGAATAACTGCTTAACGAAAGGAGGTCTTTTTGTTTGCAAATTAATCTTCTAAATTGATTAAATAATGCTAAACTATAAATAGTTTCTTTAAAACTCAATAATAATTAATATTTATAACTAAATACCATTTTTTATACCTCAATTAGGATTAAATTAATTAATTGACAAAATAATGTTTTTTTACGTTAAATTAAAGATTTTTTCGAAAATGAATACTAAATGAGATATTTTAAAGTTTCAAGTTAAATGTTTAAATTTGCAAAATATATTTTAAAATTTTATATATATTTAGTAAGAATAGTTTTAAATATTGTAAATTGTAAATTTTATATCCTATTTTGTAAAATTGAAACTAAAAGTAATTGATAGGATGAATATATTGTTTATAAACTATAGTAATTATAATAAATTTATCGTTCTTTCCAATATAATTTCTTGAACGCTGTCAAAAACCTTTTTAATATTTTTAGTATTAGTAGCAACTGTAAAATGAATATAAGGTTTTCTTTTTGGTAACTCTTCAGTTACTAGTGTTCCCCTTACAGCTCGTTCAATAACCACGGGTTTTTGTGCAATATCCTAAAACAATGTTTTAAATTAGTAAAATACTTTCATTCGTTAATTATATTAATTTTTACGTAAATTTTTTGCCGCATAAAATATTTTGCTTTTTCGTAATAGTCATTTGCATTACAATCTTTTTCTTTTGGTTCATAGTTCTTGAATTCGGGAAAAGCTGGTTCTAGTTTTCGACCCTCTTTTATTTTTTTCTCCAGTATGTCTTGTTTATTTAGAAATACAATTAAACCAGAAGTTTGTAGATACCTTTAAATAAAAAATACAAATATATACAGTGTATATTAAAACGAATAGATACACTTAAATAAAACAAGTGCCAAACCCCGCCCACTGTGGTAGGGATTGAGAATTTATAGGTATTATTTTTATCGAATTCGTTTGTTTTGTTTTAATGCATTTCTGCAAATAAAAACTAAGTATTGTTTAAAATCCATTAAATTCCAGTTAATGGCGAAAATGTATTTTTTAAAAACTATACACATTTCCCAACGACAGCGTCGGAACTACTGAACAAACACAGTAGATCAAACTGCATGCTGCGCTGTTGCCATATGCTATTATTGTTTCCTAAAAGGGTTGTTTTTCTTATTTTTTAATATTAAAAGTAAGAAAATTAACTAAATCAAATTATTTTTGACATATTATTAATTTTTTTGTTATTTTTAAAGTTTGAAACAATTAAAATTGAACTATTTATTAAATAATTATAATCGTTATCTTCTGATTTAAAACAACCTGGCAACTATGGTTCGTAATTACGAATGGCTTGGTTTAAACCACGCCCAATTAAAGTTTGTTTCTTTTTCTCTAATCAGAATATAATTTGTCATCCTTGTCTCCAGCCTTACTTACTTGATTTTATACAGTCTGTATAGTATACAGACTGTACAACAAATACAAATGTACATATATGCAAATTTGCATATTGATTGCATTGATTTATTTTTATGAACTGCATGTATGGCGTTGATTTGACAGCATGTCATAAAAATAAATCAATCCAATATTTGAGGTTATATTTAAAATGTTAATATTAACATATTTACACTTAAAACTTGCTTATCATTAAATGTGTTTTCAAATATTTAAGTTGTTAAATCAATACAATTTTTGATAAACACTTATCATTTTGTTTAATAGGCGTTTTAATAGTATTAAAAATTAAAAAAATGTTAGGACAAATTCGCACAGTGGGATGAATTTAAAAAATGGTAGGACAAAATCGCACAGTACCATAAATTTAATCCTTCTTGACGTATTTACTAAATAAAAGGGTGTGACGAGTGGAAAACGAGAAAGGGGAAAATTTTCAAAATTTTTAAAAGTATCAAAATTCTTAAAAATTTTAAAATCTTTAAAATTTAAAAAAATTCCATAATCTTTAGTAGATTAGAGTAGTTAGATTTTAATACTACTTTCTCAGTAATGATTTTTCGAATTTGGACTTTTTCCTTATTTTTTTAAGTAAATAATGTTTTATAAAACTACAACTTTAGATTAGTTGTAAAAAAAATGACTTTACAATAAAAAAAGGCATCAATTTTTATTTCAGATCTGAACTTTTTTTGTAAAAGCTGAACAAGTTATCTTAAATGTGAACTTTTGTTTAAATAAAATTGAATCGCGTATTATTAAAAGGATGTAAGTCAATTTTTTGATATTTTGAGTACATATCTATTTTTACTTAGTAAAGAGGTCAAGACGTTTGGTAATAAAACAATAAAGCATACATACATTTTGAAAAATAGGCATTTATATCGTTTTATTACCAAAATCACAAATATGTAACTTAAAATATCAAATAATAATAATAAATAATAAAGTAATTTTTACTGATTTTTTTCAAGTAATTCTACCTTGCTGCTTCTTAAAGCAAACAAGAGCAGTTACAGCGGTGAGACGAAGGCAATCGCTGCACAGTGGTGCCATCTATGATAATGATATAATAAAGAATAAATTTTTTATTGAAAACCTAGTAATTTTTTACAAAAAAACTGTAATGTTTGTATTTTTATAAAACAATATTTACATAAAAATATAGCAAAAAAGTTTAAAAAAACCGGAGGGTTACGCTCAAAAAAAGTATTTGATGGAATGACCTATAAGGTAAAGTAGACAATTAACATTAATACTGTAAAAACAAGAGTTCTATACATAGTTACATTAAAGTCAAATCATTAGATGACGCTGTATACAATTATAACTATCTCAGTCGGTAATAATATAGAACTACTTTATTTTGGGTCTAATATAGGACAAAAAAGTTCGCACGTTACTTTGGTGGTAAGATTTTTGTTTTTTTGTTAAGAGCAGGGCTGTGTTTAAATTACAATAAAAAATATTTCTAAAGTGTACAGATCAGTGTGTAGTATAAATGTGTTACTCATGGTTTAAACATTGTCACTTTAATGCGATTTAATTTTTTTCTGAAAACAAACAGTAAAATGGCCAGTGTCCAATTACTGGTTGGTAAAAAATGTAAATTTCTATTATTGGACATATGTCCATTATCATACTCTATTTATATCCTAGCCAATTCTTATGTAAAATTGTCCTCTGAATCCGAAAAGACCGTCAAAAACTATAAAAGTTAAGCAGTTTTTGAGATATAGTCAATTCCAAATTTTATGTAAAATTGATTATATTTCACAAACTGTTATACTTTTATAACTTTTGACGACATTTTCGGATTCATAGGAATTGACTGGATACAAATTGCTGTTGACGAGAATTACCTATTAGTGGCTGCTTTTTTGCTATGACATTTTCGACTAATTCATTTTTAGATAGTAAGTAATATAGTGATTTCTTCGTCACAGGACATCTTGCAGAATAACAGTGATTTAAATACAGTGCATGATAGAGAACATAAAAAACTAATGGCAACAAAATTAATAAATTCGGAAAATACTTTTAACATACCACCCGAAAAAATATTAGATATATAAACCAATAAATATTAGATATATAAATCCATCAAATATTAGATATATAAATCATCCTGTTTCGGCCTAAACATTATAAATGCTTTACAAACTAGAGATTCCACATTTTATTATATTTGCAACAAACTATTTCTGAAGTAAGACCAGGGAATTAGTAGTTATCTTCAGAATCCAGAAAAGCGATGAGGAATCCGAGAAAGAAATATATGAATTATATGATATTTATAAAAACGAAATAAAAAAAATTACCTAAAACAGCAATTTATCTTTAAAAAATATTTTACAATTTGTTATTTGATGTAAAGTTGTTATGTTTATATAAAAATTGTTTGTCCAATAACTATGGTCCATGTGTCCAATAACTATGTGGTTTACCCTATTAAAAATTAAAAAATTTTTATACATTTTTAAAATTTTTAGAAATTTGTAAAAGTTAATTTTGGAGATATAAAAATTTTGGAAGATTTTGAATAAATGGCCAAACTGCTATAGCTCAAAATTAAAATACCAAAGCAAAAAAGCTGTAATAGTTGCTTACTGGTTTTTATAAATATTTTGAAACAATTCAAACGACTCTTTCAAACGATTTTTAGCTCCATCTTCCCTAAGGGTCAAGTCAAAATCGCTAGCTGCAATTAAAAACAATATTGCTTGGATGGCTTCATCAAACACTTTAATCCATTGTTTTCTTTGACCACGTTGACCGCCTACGTCATATAGAAAAAAATTTGCCAATCCGCCACCATATTTCTTCGGTACTGGAAGCGAAAATTCTATTTTGGATATTTGCACCGTCATAACCCGGCAAACAAGTATGTCTTCTACTGTTGGTATGTAATCTGGTTTTCGTATAATATCCACTTGATCTAAAAAGCTAAAATAAAACGCATAATTAAATTTTTATACAGGATGTCCGGAAATAACGTTTATACACAAAATTTATCCAAAATGAATTAGTTTAATCTAAAATAGAATAAATCAAGAAAAAAACAGACAAATTTTTTATGATAAATATGTATACATATTTATCATACATTTCGCAAATTATTAATATCATCAAATTAAAATTAACATCCTTAGATAGACATTATTGTTTAAGTGCTAAATCGATTTTTTTTTTAGGAACAGCAAAGTTAAGATTGGTCATAAGAAAACAAAAAAATTTTTACTACTAAATTACATTTAAGCATTTCCTAATTATACATTAGTTTGTATTACTTTTTAAATTTAAAAATGTTTTCCGGTTAAAACGGAAGTGCCATTTTATTCAAAATATTTTAGAAAAATAGACATATGTAAATGGATTTATAATTTCAAATCGATATCATTCTTGGTAAAATGTTTTAATTCAAAAATATTTTAATAAAATTTAAAATTAATTTACTTACTGCTGAGCACTATCAATTAATTGAAATTCATTTGATCTTCTAAAAGTTTCTTGGACTCCTTCGTCTGCCCATGCAGTTTTCACATTATCATAATATTCCTAAAAAGTATTTTTTTATTTCGTGAAATAAAACCTTTAGACAATTAAATATATATTGTGTTACCTCGGTATATTCAACTGGTTCTTCTTTCCCAATATTTAAAATATATTCTCCTGCTTTTAAAGCTTCTTCGCTGTTAAATTTTGTTGGTGGATTAACCTGGTTCATATTGAAGACGATGTCATATATTGACTCGTGTATATTTTGTTTAATGTTTTTTATTTTTTCAAGTTTTTCCCTAAAATTAATCGGGGGTAAGTGCTCGCATAAGTCTTTAGGATTTTCACGCTTGTGCTTTTAATTAAATAAATTACTTGTCAAATAATATTTTTATATTATGGAAAAAGATGTTATTTCCCGAGCAAACAACATTTTTGCGGAAAATGGTCAAAATATAAAGATGGAGAAAATCATTTAATAAACAAAATACTAGAGACAGATAAGTTATACTTAGTTAATAAGATAATAAATAATCTTTTTGATAACCACTTACTCGTTTGAAAATCCGTTTATATGTAATATTTTCATTTGTTTTATGATGGTGGTTTTTCCTGATTCGCCTGTACCAAGAAGCAAAAGTTTGTTGGTATCAAAGAACGTTTGGGTATGAATTTTAGAAATTTGGTTCTCATTGTTTATACTTTCTCTCCTTCTAAAACAACCGCCCATTTTTCACACTAACTTTTAAAACACCTCGTGCAAAATTTAAAATTGACTAACCTAATCTATCCAATTTTAGATAATCCGTAAATTTATCATGTGCAAGGTGTTTATTAAATAAATTTAAGTATAATCTCATTGATAAGTAATGACAAGTGATGGGGCTGGGAGATAAACAATTTTTGTGAACGCTACAGCGATGATTGGATTTACCAGTATTTTTTAGCTTTACGCACTTGTGTTGTTTTATAACACTATAATTAGAGTTAATTTTAAGTGTAATTTTCCCCAAGTAAGCAAGTATGATTTAACACTATAGCACTGAGGATAAAGTAATTTTACACTGTATTAAAAAGTGTTAATTTACCTAAAACCGTGTACTTCTACACTTCCTGGGTAAAATCCCACTTTTGTTCAGTGTAAATTAACACTACTTGAAAAAAGTTCTAATTTTAGAAAGGTATTTTTACTCTTTTAGTGCAAACTTCTAGTGTAAATTAACACTATTATTTGAGTAAAACCTATTTGTGGTAGTGAATAAAACGAAAAGGTAAATAAAGAGAAACATTTATTTGGAACAAAAATCTATGACAATTATGAAAATCGGTGCCTTTTAAAATATAATTTTATATTTGAGTCGTATGGCTGGCTTAAGCAAAATGGTTCCTTAAAACGTAAAAGTTTTAGATCAATGCAATGTTTTACTGGCTGTCAAGTTGTAAGCAATGAATTATCTTGAGAACTCATCAGTAATCCATTTTTCTGTTATAAAAAATGGGTGATCCCATTGGTATAGAGGCGTCATGCGGCGGTATGTCGGGGATTTACCACAAATTTAGGTATAGGTTAATATAACAACCATTACGCTTGAAAATAAAAAGTAAATTAAGTGTGTATGTATTTATATTATTAATTTTACAAGTAGCTCACCTACTGCCGTAAATTATTTATATATAATATAGGTCGGGTATGGACATCCTTTTAACATATTGGTAGGTATTTATTGAGTATTAAGGCTTAAAGAAAAAGGAAGTATAATACTTACCAAAAAATAGGAATTTCCCCTTATGGATTCACCATAATTAAAATCTAACTGAACAAAAATGCTACACTTCCACAACGCGGTATCTCCGGATATGCACTGCGTATAGGTAGATAGGTACCAACCAAACATTTTAAAACGCATTTCGGTTATTACCAGTTTTTTCAGTCTATTTTGCCACTATTGGTGTAATTTAACTTTAATTGTGATACGTGCACTAGTAGTGTAAAAAAAGAGCTCTTAGTAACATCAAAACAATCAAAGAAATTGACATGCACAGTAGTGTACATTTTGTCACTATTTAACACATTAAGAGGTAATTAACACTCGCATTAAGTTTTTCTACCTTTTGATTTATTTAAATAATAAATAGTGTAAATGTACCGATGAATAATGTTCATATTCTTTAAATGTGTTTAATAAGCATACCTAGTAGTAACTTTTACACTTACAAATCAACTCTAATATTTTTACCCCTACACTAAAAAAATTACACGGGCAACATTTTTTACTGTGTACAATCTTTTTTAAATGCAGCTTTAAAGTGTTAGTTGTTTACTCACATAATAGTATAATAATATATTATGTATCAAGTTTGATAAACGCCATTTTAGTCACCAATTTTAATTAGTTACTTTTAATTTTTATTATCGTAGCCATCTATTATGGAACGCCTTTTTACTATTTATTACTAGTTGGTACCAATGTAACATTTAAATTCAAGTGTCATGTGAATTAAAGTATAACCGAAATTAAAGTATCATCTAAATTTACTTCTGCTTTTGTTCACGTGAATTAAAGTATAATCGAAATTAAAGTATCATCTGTATTAGCTTCTGCTTTTCCTCAATAGATGGCTACGATAATAAAAATTAAAAGTATAATGGAAATTCGAGTGTCATGTAAATTAAAGTATAATCGAAATTAAAATATCATGAAATTTAAAGTATAATGGAAATTAAAGTATAATAGAAATTAAATTATCAAGGAAATTGTTTCAATTTTGTTGTTAAATAATAAGTTAAATATCATTTTCATTTTAAATAAGAAGATATGTATTTTCAATATTTGAAATATTTAATTAATTGGTACAACATTGAAATTGTTTCTATAACCCTTATGAAATACAGAAATTTATGTGTAATTTAAATCCAGAAAACATGTAAATTCAAATAACAAATAAATTAAAGTACAAAAATATTATATTTACCTACACGGAAAAAAATGAAATGTTATATTTTATTGTTGACAATTTACAGTAAGCTTAAATATAAAATTCAGTCAATCTAACCATATGGGTTATTGCGGTTAAACGTAAAATTACTGTTAAACTTTTTATTGTAGCTTTTACTATACATCCAGTACCTTTAACTAGATAGTTTAGTTAATTTTAATAAATTAATTTTTACAGTAAAATCTAGTTACATTAACTGTATTTTTTACAGGAAATTAATATAAAAAGGGCGACATCTGTGTTAAACGATAGCAAGTTGCTATATAATTGTATTTGGGTTTGAGATTATAAAACCACATAATATCAGGGAGCCAATCAGAGGGCCTCGCGCTCACGCTATAATTAAGGCGGGGGTGGTCGGAAGGTATGAGGCGCCGTTTGTGCCATAATTATAAATAAAAAATTAATAAATATAAAACAATATTTTAAAAATATATAAATTTAAATCAAAAATTTTAAAATATAATAATATAATAATATGCGTAAATATATTTTATGAATAAAATTTATCACACAAAGTTATTTATATTTGCTTAACCGTTCATTTATATTTTTAGCAGATTATCCATATATTTATAGTTTATATATATATATTTTTAGCATGTGCCATAATATACAGTTGGTTGCATACGCAGCGGGCGCTTACTAATGAAGTTGGGGTCTTTTCACATTACGAGTGGCAGCACTGGAAGGACATTTCAACTGTCAAAGTTGTTCATGTTTAAACAAAAGTGATTTTAAAACACTGTTTTGCTTCATTTTGCGTTTTCGTGAGGTTGTTTTTTTATTAGGTTTATAATATAAACTTTATACCATAAATTTTATAATACAAAAGGTGCGGTCGTTGTCGTAATATAGTTGTTATATTACTTTAATTAATACACTGTACACGTTAAACATAGTTTATTAAACAATATTAGAGAACACGTTGACATCTGTCTGACAAGTATTTGTTAAATCATGGCTATTATGACACCTCCCCTTTTACAAAACTAACTAAATGTTTAATACATAACAAAATCCCTAAACCTATGGGGTATTTTTATGTCTCTCTTATTAATAATTAATTACTAACTCTATCTGACACATTTGAACTAGTATTAAGTCGTTGAGTTATAAATCTGATTTTGGGAATTACAAATTAAGAATATGGAGGTTCAACAATATTTTGCACAATTAGTTTATGATGTAGGCCAAATGGAAGACCTAATAATGCAGAATAATATTGATATTCGACTTCTCGAAGAAGGTGCTGTTAAATTGGAGAATCACTGCTAAACTTTTGCTGTCTTTATGGGTATTTATCAAGCTATTGATGCTGGAATTCTTCATAATTTAAACAAAGCTTATGGAATAATTTGGAATTTATATTATACTGTTGACTGAATGTTTTATCCAAAGAACACCTTTGCCTTATATCTATGAATTGAACCAATGTATGTAACACGCCACAAACATACAGGTATCACGAGAACGCAAAAGTTTTGCGGCAAAACACAACACAAAACGCTTTTGTTGCACTTTTGTTTTAAAAATGTGACAGACTGTCACTGACAGTTGAACTGTTCTTCCAGTGCTGCCACTCGTAATGTGAAAGACGCTAACTTCATTAGTAAGCGCCCGCTGCGTATGCAACCCAGTATATATTATGGCACATGCTAAAATATATATGGATAAACTGCTAAAAATATAAATGATAACGGTTAAGGAAATATAAATAACTTTGTGTGATAAAATATATATAAATAAATTTTATTGATAAAATATATATCTCAATTTATAATTTTATTTCTTTAAGTAATATTTTATAATTTTTGATTTACATTTATATATTTTTAAAATATTGTTTTATATTTATTAATTTTTTATTTATAATTATGGCACAAACGGCGCCTCATAGGAAGGCGTTCAACAAGAATTGGGAAAAGCGTCTTCCGAAAAGGTTGTGTTACTTTATCTAATCCTTTTTATATGATCTAATTTATGGTGTTAAAACAGTGCAGAGTGTAGAGGGATCCTTTCTCTATGGAGATTAGTGTCATATAAAACTTGTAGGTAAGTTAAAATTCATTTAATCATTTAAAATAAATAAGGTAACCAAGTTTACTAAAGTAGATTTGTACGGTCAAGACTCGAGTCTTCCAAGATGGATGGGGTGGCTTGTTTTTTTATCTATAATTAACTAGGTATTATAAAATCATAAATTATATAGCTTTATTTTGTAATTTGACTGGCACTTCTAGAGATTTTATAAACTGACATATCAATTATGTCACATTCTTAAACATTAAAAAATATTTAGGCATTTATCTATGGTTACATTTAATAAAAATAATCAAATTTTGTGTGTAATCACACATTTTTCGGTTGCAATTATTATTAAACTCTGTAGGATTGTTTAATTGGGTTTAGAGATTTATAAACTAGAATAAAAATGTTTAAACTTGAAGTTTAAAACTTGCTTGCTTGCTTTATATTTGTAAATATTAAAATTTGAATAGTATCCCTATTGTAAATTTGACGTTTCTTATTATTGTTGATTATAATAAACATTTTCCGGTTTTTAAATAACTAATGTCAAAAGACGTCATTTTTTTGCACAACGACAATTTACAAAACGACCAAAATTTCGAGAATAATAATAATTCATATTGGCGTTTTGTACTGTCTCCAGGGGCAACTGTATGAAATAGTGTATCGTACTGGTGCCCCTTACATCGTAGATGTTGTTTATTTGAAATAAACATTTGGGTTGCAAGGGAGACCAGTATAAATTATAAATAATATAATATACTTATGTATAATATGTATATGAATATATTATAATAAATTATTTCGATAAACAATTACAGGGAAATTTCATCAGGCCAAAAAAAGCTTATTATTTTGAACATGTTAGTCTAAAAACCGTTTATTAAAGGTGTTTGCCACCTCCTGAAATTTTTTAAAAAGGTCATCAAAGGTAGTTGGAAAATTTTATATGGGCGCCCATGTTGCTATAAACAGGCTTGTAATTTACCGGTGATCCCCATTTACATTTCAGTATATGCCCGAAAAAATACACCAGCCATGTAACAAGCATTTTAAATTTTAATTATTTCTTTTACTAAAAAAAGGCAATACATGATTTTTTTTATACATTTTGACATTAATTTGGTATAATGCACATTTTATAACATTTTTAATTTTTTCAGGGAAACAAATAATACAATTTTTAAATGTTATAAAATCTGTTATACTTGAATTGTTTTAATAAATTTTGAAATTTATTGATAAACAATTGTTTATTGATTAATACTAAATTATAAATTGTATTAATTATATTTGAATTATCTTAATTAGGGGGAGCCTAACTTTTTCCGCAAACTTCAATTTAAATTCTGCTTGCGCAAAATTTTTTAGTTAAACTCTTATAAATTTGGTGTGGGTCATAGCTTCTACAAAAATTGCGGCAAATATAAAAATTTTACATCAAAATGTGCGAAATTGAAAAACGTTCAGGGATTTTTCTTTTAAACAAAAAAAAGGAATTTTTAAATGAATTTGTTTCATACTTTTGCAGGTCACTTATATATGTAGGTACCAGAGTGTTAACAAAATTTTAAGGGATTTCTTTTTCTGTAAAATGGACGTGAACGAAATTTTAAGGGAGTGGGAACTAGAACAATATATCGATATATTTGAAGGTTAGTTTTTTATTATTACTAATTAAGATTACTAAATAAGATTCATTTTTTTTTATTTGGACTTTGCATTGTCAAAAATTTAAGGTTTGGCAAAGCAAGCAAAAATTGTCCCTGTTTTTTATGTAACACAAAAAGCGTCAAAAAATATACAGAGACTCTACTCTATATTAATATTTATATTAAATATGTTTTAGAAAATGCTATTGACTTGGAGTCATTTAATCTACTTAATGAACATTTAATAAAAGAAATAATCCCCAAAATAGGGCATAGGTTAAAATTTTTAAAAAAATTTGAAGAGTACAAGCAAAACATTAGAGAAGTAATAAAACCATACTGGCATATTAAGCATATTCTAAATATTATTAAAATTAATTATAGGAAAGTAACATAACGGAAGATTTAACATTCAACATTAACCATTCAGCTTCAGAAATTTTGCTTGAAGTAGTGGAACCAGAAGCTTACACAGAACATGTTCCTGCTAACACAGTTCCTAACTTTTTGGAACCACCAAACAAAATACCCAATAAAGGTTTATTTTCTCGTGAGGTATATAATTTTTGACTAATCTTTTATCATAAGCTGTTTTATAAAAAAACTGGATTTTGTCAATATTGTGAAACAAACTACATATATATTTTATAAAATAATAACTCCACAGATTATAATATAATATTATATTAGAATGGTTTGCCATTTTTAATAAATTAGTTTTTTATGATTTTAATATAAATATCTTTTATTCTTTTAGGAATTTGAAATTTTTTTAAAAAAAAGTTCAGAGTGGGAAGTAATAAATAAAGAACATATTTTGAATGAATATAGTCGAGGAAAACTAGCAAAAGTAGCGCTTGACTTTTTAATACTGAATTATTCCTCTAAAAAGTAAGATATTTTATTTATTTTTATTTATTAATCGGTTTTTGGAAAACTTGCATATTTTTTTATTTGTAGGATTCCTCATAGTTCTTTTTTGGAAATTTCCCATATTATAAATAAAATATTTCCCCAAGAAGCCCCTGAAATATATTTTGTTCCCTATAAAGGAAAAACAAAAACCAGTCCCAAAATATTAGCATGTGGAAAATTATATTCCAAATATTTAAATTATAAAAGAATAACTAAAAAAAAAGAGCCACTTGGTGAAATAAGTATTTAATTTGCAAATACATTTATTGTTCATAATTTATAATAAAAAATATTTTAGCAAATGAAATCGAAATTGGTGAGTCAGAAAAAGCTGCCAATATTTTTTTAAAAAACAATATAGGCCCAGAGTGTGACATTCTGGAAGCTTGGGAAAAAACCGAAAACATAAGAAAAAACTATTTATCGAAAAGCGATATAAATAGTTACTTTGAAAATTATCCCGCTTTAAAACAACCTTTTGGGTATAATCTATTGCTTATAGATTTTGAAAAAAAATTCCCTGACCAATTTAACAATATTTATGGTAATTGGCCTTCAGTGGCAAAAGCTATATTAAAGTTATGCAAGGAAAAGGGTCTTATTAATGAGGAAGATACTTTAAATATAGGTAATTATTTTTTTAATGAACAGGGTGATTGTCAATTGAAATATTGCATACTTGAGTCCTACTCAAAATGCATGGCACTATTTTAAATATTCCTATTTATATGACTGCCATTTTCATATGCACAATCATGCTGTTAAATTTCGCTATGCATTATTAAGGCACTGTATTTACCTTTATTTGTTTCAGACACTCTAGCTATAAAATATTTACCTCAGCTTTTTAAAGCTGGTAATCATAGAAAAAGTTTTGGTTCCATTCGTTCCTCAAAATCGGAGATTAAGGATAGTTTTCTTTTGGAATTAAATGTAAGTTATTGATTTAAATCATTACTTAATAAATAAATATGTCTATATTTTTTAGAACTTTGGAGACTTAAATGAAAAAATAGAAGAAAGAAGAAGAAGACTAAATAAGATTGGTGGAACAATTCAACCATTTATGCTCCTCATAGAAGATATTAATAAAAAGGTATCATCCTATGTTATAATTAACGATACTAAATATTATATCGAGTCTTCAGTTAAGGCTTTGGATGTTTGTTTTAAGTCATTTTTTTCATTAGACGCCAAATATCCTGTTGAATCCGAACAGGTTTGGATGTTAATTCAAAAACTTGTGTATAAATTAAATTTTCCTACTGATAAAAATTACAGTGGTACAACGACTGTTTCTTCCGAAATTTTAAGATTTTTAGATTCTTAATTTTAATCAAAAAGTTGTAATGATGTTTTATTGCTTTAAATGTTCCAGTTCTTTGGACACCCTCAATAAATTAATTTTACATTTTCGCAATTCGCATCGATTAGCAGAAAAATGTATATATCTTTGTGTTCAGCCGCCAGAATGCTTAAGAAAATTTTCATCTATAAACTCATTTCGAAAGCATGTTCAAAGGGAGCATATTTCCAAAATTCATTCAAATGTAATGAACACTATTCAACCTGTTGGTATTGAAAATAATTTTAATTTAAATGTAGGTACAAATGACTTAACTAAAAATTCTAGCCAAAATAATTTAACCAGTAATTCAGAGAAATTGACCACTGACAATATTAATGTAATTACAAATAACTTACCTAATAGTATTGCAGAAAATTTGCTTACTGATATTATTTCAAATAATGATGAAAACACAATAGCTGAATTTAAAAATAAACTAAGACAAAATATGTCATTACTCATAGGAAAATTTTACGCAAAATCAATTATCCCTAGAAATCAAGTTCAACAAATTATTCTTGATTTAAATGACTTGCTAGTACTTACCCATTTTAGAAATATTACAAGAAAAAGTCTTAAATATTGCAAAATGTAATTTTGTACCAAAAAACAGTCAGAATCAAATTTTTAAGATGTTTAATGATTTTATAAATATTTTTGATGATATAAGTACTGAATTTAAAAGGTTGAGGTTTTTAGAACAAATAGGAAAATACATTCCCCCTAAAAGCTTTATCATTGGTCAACATATTGAACAGAATTTTTCTGGAGAAATGATACCAAAATCACTAACAGCAGAGTTTGTTCCATTGCGTAAAGTACTTAAATCATTTTTGGAATTGGACGGTGTTTATAAAATTATTTTAGATTATGTAAATTTACTTAACTCAGAAAGTGAAATACTTTCCAATATTATTCAAGGTAAAGCGTGGAAAAAAAAATGCAAATTGTATAAAAATAAAACTATTTTACCTATACTTTTATATTTTGATGAATATGAAACGGGGAATGCTTTAGGTTCCCATGCTGGCATGCAAAAAGTTGGAGCTGTATATTACACAATACCTGTGATTCCCTGGGAATTTAAAAGTTCGTTGGATAACATTTTTTTAGCTATGTTAATTTATAGTGCAGATCATAAACAATTTGGAAATACAATAACTTTTAATAAATTGTGTGAGGAACTGAATTATTTAGAAAATCAGGGAATTTCAATAACTGTAGACAATGAAGTAAAACAAGTACATTTTCTTTTGGGTTCAATTACTGGGGATAATTTGGGTTTGAATACTATTTTGGGTTTTGTTGAGAGTTTTAGGGCAACATATTTTTGTAGATTTTGTAAAATGTCCAAAGAACAGGCTAGTAGAGCAACTAAACAAGTAGATTTATTATTAAGGAATAAAGAAAATTATGAATATGATTTAAATAGTAATATTGGTATTAAAGAAAACAGCGTTTTTAACTCAATTAATAATTATCATGTTGCTGAAAATTTTGCCGCTGATATAATGCATGATCTTTTAGAAGGAGTTTGCAAATTTGAAATGGCTTTAATTTTACAAAAACTTATTATTGATGAAAAACGCCTATCTCTTGAAAATTTAAATTTTAAACTTCAATGTTTTAATTTTGGTTATGATTCAGGTAATAGACCACCTTCAATAACTTTAGATAATATTAAAAATAAGACACTTAAGATGTCAGCTGCGGAAACGTTTTGTTTCATGATATATGCTGGTCCCATAATGTTTGAATACATACCAGAAGATAATCTTTATTGGCAACTATATATAAAATTGCGTGAAATACTTATCTTTGTAACTAATAAACATTTTTCTGTCAGCCTATGTAATTATTTAGAAGTTTTGATATCAGAACACCATCAATTATATCTTGATTTATTTGAAATTCCTTTAAAACCAAAAATGCATTTTATGACTCATTATCCATATATTATTAAACAAATCGGTCCACTAATTAATATTTGGTGTATGCGATTTGAGGCTAAACACAGAGAGGGAAAGTTAACGTCAAGTGTCGTTTCAACACGTAAAAATATTATACATACAATAGCGATAAAACATCAATTACAACTCGGTTATAAGTTAATGTTGAATAAAACATTTAAGTGTGATATTAACTACGGTCCTTTGAAAAAATTTGATCTCGGTAGTCTTAATTTAAATAAAAATTTATTAAACCTTATTAAATCTTATAAAGGTTTGCTAAGCTTAAACTGGATACAAAAATTTGGAACAACGTATAGAATCGGAAATATTTTAGTTTTAGAGACTGAGTCTGAAATGCCAGTATTCGGGAAAATAAATCATATTTTATTTAACGATAAAGAAATAATTTTTATTTGTAAAGTTTTTCTTACATTAGCTTTTAATAGTCATAATTGTTGTTATGAGGTAAAAGACCATTTAAAAGATTTGTTTGTACAAAAACATTCGGATTTATCTGTTTATATCCCCCAAACATGTTTTAAGTCTTTAAATGATAATTTATTTGTGTGTTCAAAAAATTTTGTTTAGTCTTTAAAGTCTATGTAGTTTATTTCGATAAATACATTTTTAGTTATTTATTATATACATTTTAGGCTTTTTTAAAATTTAGTTTTATTTTTTTTTGTTTAATTTTCGTATAAAATTAAAATATTTTGGTCTTTGGATATTCACTTTGCGGAAGTATGAATGTATATTTATTTTGAATTTGAAGAGTGATAGGTGTTTCAAACATTTTCTTATTCTATACCCATAAAACAAGTTCATAGACATTCTGTTTGTTAAACAGATTTACCTAATCACTCTTATCAAACTCAAAATAAAGATACATTAATACTTCCGTAAAGTATGAAAGTAAATCCCAAAAGAGTGATGTTTTATTATGGACCAAAATATTTTAATTGTATACAAAATGTTATTAAACAAATAAAAAGAAAAACTAAATTAAAAAAAAACGCTTAAAATGTTTGTAATAAATAGATTTAAAAATTATGTTTACAAACTATTTAATAAAGGTTTTTTATTTATTTGTTGTTTATTATTGCCTGAATAACCCCTTAATCTTAAAAATATTTTTATAATTAATCCTACTATACAAGATGGTAAGTATTACAAGACTGGGTAATTAATCTTACTAGTCAATATATATTTAACTGAACTCATCAAGTTATTTAATTTTGCTATATAAGATGGTACGTACTAAAATCCGGAATATTTAATAATACTAGTTAAATATATTTAACTGTACTTACTGAGTTATTTAATTTTACCATATAATATTGTACCTATTACAATCCAGGATAATTAATCTAACTATTCAATACAATTAATGCTACTTCGTAAGTTATTTAATTTTATTATTCACAATGGTACATGGTACAATCCAGAATAATTAATATTAATAGTCAATATATTTAACTGTACTAACCGAGTTATTTAAGTTTACTATATAAGATGATAGCTATTACTATACAGAATAATTCATTTTACCAGTCAATACATTTAACGGAACTCACTAAATTATTTAATTTTACTATAAAAATGGTACTTATTACAAACCAGGATAATTAGGGCTACAATCTAAAATATTACAATTTACATTCTTAGTTCCTTATATATGCAATACTTTTTAACAGTAAAAATACTGTTAAATTAACATAACATAATGTTGTCCAAATACTAATTAGAAAATATAGTTAATTTAACTGTATTTACAGTAAGTCTTACTATATATTTTTTTCCGTGTACCCAATGATCAATTTCTTTGAATGAATTTGGTATTTTGATTCTAAATAAACATAGAAATTAGAAACATACACCATCTAATATAAATAAAATTATTATAAAGAAATAAAATAAAAATCATTTTCCCATAAAAATATACATGTTAAATACTTGATATCGGAGTTTCATTTTTAGCTATGAAACAATCATTGAAATTGGTTACTTTTTTTTTAAATAAAATTTTAATTCCAACGCCGTTTTACTATTTATTGTACATTGATACCAACCTGTCATTAAAATACCTTTAATTTCCATTACAAACCTATAAAAAAATTAACAATAATTTAAATGATACATTGGTACCAACTAGTAATAAATAGTAAAACGGCGTTCCATGCATAAGTATGCACCTCGTGTGCATATTTGCATATTTTTGCAGTCTACAGCCTGGAGTGTGTTTTTTATTTTTTTATAGAATATCTTAAAACGGGATAAATCAATAATAACAAAACATATTTTTTGTTTATTTTTAGATCAACGTGCTTTCTCAATAATGTTCACTTGTTTTGCCTTTTAATAAAAAAGAAAACAAGTGTTTATTCATAGCAGTGTCACATTTTAAATATACGACAAATTTGTTTTCACGACTTCTGATGTTTTTAGGTCGTCCAGAGTTTTATTTATGAATCTTCGGCTATATTTCATCTTAACTATTCGCATAAATGTTTTACTACCCAAGACTACTGAAGCTCGTTTCTACATGGAGGGTGTATGAATCTCAATTGAGTAGTCTGAGGTTTTTATAGCCGTCTTTCATTAATTTTTAGTTTGATAGATACATTTTTAATAGTTTTTATTCTTTGAAATCCGGAAATATAACACGAGAAGAGATATAAGTGTTTCTTGGTAAAGTGAAAAATTCGGGTCACATAAAACATGTCAGTAAATTTATACTAATATTTTAGTTAACTTTGAATTATACTCCACACACCTTTTAAAAGCCTATTTAACAATGGTTAAAACCGTACAAAAATAATATAAACTTTATTTCAACAAAAAAAGTTTAGGCTGAAGAGCTTCCACTGTAAGCCATAAACAATCTCTTGGTTGGAGTTTTTTCACCCATATTATATTTTTTATTTATTTATTTAATGTTTTTTTAATGATTTAATATTAAATATAATCTTATATAGCAAACTATCTCTTTGTTTGTAGTAAGATTTTTTGAAATCTTAGTATTTAGTTAAATTAAACAGTCCCCTGGCTATTTAATATGACAGGGGACTGTTTCATTCTCTAAAGGTCTTAATAGTTAGTTTTATAAAGTATAAAAATAATAATAAAGCGATTTTTTTCTGTTGTAACAATTGCCAACACGATATCGGAATAATAAATCAAAAATATATGTAAAAGGTATTTTTTACATTTAAAACCGAAGAAGGAAGCTGACAATGTTTGCTATTTAAATTTATGTGATTTGTATTAAAATTGGTACTTAATACGCTAAAGAAGTAACAGTAAAAGCCAAAAACAGGTATTATATTGTTTATTATATATAATTCGTAGATATATTTTATCGTTTACTATTTTAAAATGCGAAGAAAGTTAATTCTGCACGAAAAAATATACGAACCGAATTGGATCGTTTGGCAAAACATGAAAATGCAACGATTTAGTTCTTGAATTACATTTACAATTAAAAACACAATAATTCACCATGATCACTTAGATAAAATACACACACTAACGTAACTATATAAGTATATAAGCGTTGAGTTTCTTAATCAATTATATAAGGAATAATAAATCGAAATCTAGTACTAAACCGAACTTTTGCATTTTTTACTTGCAACGCGAAACA